TTGCGAGACAGTGGTTCACCATGTATTGGAAAATTAAATTCACAACAGACATTTTGAGCCACTTGTCCTGCTTTTAAAGACAAACGAGAAGTACAGGGTGGCTCGAATTCGACGCTCACCATTTAAATTTCGGAAACCGTAAAGATGCGTATTCATTTGCAACAAAACACTCGGAACAAACCAAACGCGCCGCGCACTCCAAACAATCTGCAACAAAACATTTTCCGGTAGCGCTCTGAACGACCTGCAAAAAAACATTTTGCGCGGAGCGTTCCGCCTGTTTGCGGTGTTCGCTGCGTTCCCACCAGTAATCAGTGTTAGTGTGTTTGTCGATAAAGATGCATCTGATATTACCATAGCCGCTGGTGCTTTTTTAATTATAGAGGCATTAGCCGGTAACAAAAAAGAGAAAAAAAGGAAAGGACAAAAACTGTGAGCAAGACGCCTCTTTTTGCGCCGTCAATATAATATGGCCTTACTTAGTGACCTAGATTATATGCATAAGAAGAATTTAATTAATTTAATAATTAATTATTAATTTAATAAAATAGGCCGCCTTTCAAACTCATCAATTAACTCTAAACATTTTTGTCTGTTCCACTCCATAGCTAGGTATAGCTTATAAACACCCCAAACACAACGAACGTTCAAAACTGCCGTATCCACTGAACATCGGCCAACGAACAAATTCTTTTGAGCAAATCTCCTTTACCGACAAGCTTCGGAAAATGTTTGGCGCGTTCGGTTTGGTTCGTCGCGTCGCAACGTACTGACTACCCAAACTTGTTACAGCGCGCGCGGCGCGTTTGGTTCGTTCGGAGTGTTTTGTTGCAAGTGAATACCCACCTTAAGAGATACAGGATTGGTTAAATGGAGACAAAGTTGCGCAATTTGATGCTCAATAAAATGCTGCATTTTGAAAAATTCCGTATACTTCCGAATATATTCGAAAAAAAAAACGGAATTTTCAATTTTGATTTCTATTGTTTACTGGCTTTATTTGTTAAGATAACTTAAAATGAAAAACACATTTTCATCGCCACTTTTTCTGCTCTATAACTCTGTGCAATTAAATATTGACTCTGACGTTTCGGCTTCTGGCGACCATCATCAACTTAATTTTTTTTAAATACGGACCTGATTTTTTTTTCAATTTAATTAAATCCTTTCATCACTCTTATAAAACACTATATATAGTCACTTTGATATTTCGCCGACGTTTCATACAGAAAATTCCATCACCAGAATATTTTATACAAAAAAAAAATAAAAAATAAAAAAGCAATACGGCATTTTATTAAGCATCAAATTGCGCAACTTTGCCTTCATTTAACCGATCCTGTATCTCTTAAGGTACATTCAGGCTGAGAGCGTCGAGCGTCGCGTCGCGTTTGCGTCGCGTCCGCCCCATTGAACTCGAAGCCCGACGCTCAGCGGACGCTAGCGCAACGCCAAACGCGACGCTGTCTGCCTGAACGGTCTAATTTAAATTAAGTGAATTGATTCCATTTTGACACACGGACGCGATGCAAACGCGACGCGACGCTCGACGCTCTCAGCCTGAATGTACCTTTTACGGTTTCCGAAATCCCAATGATGAGCGTCGAATTCGAGCCACCCTGTACACAGTGTCAGGTAAATGAAGGCCAGTTAACAATATAAAAATTGAAAAATTAGGAAAAAGTACATAATAATAACTTATTTGTGTTACCCAATCAATATCAATCAGTAACGATTTGCCTTGAAAATAGAGTAATGGTATACTTGTATGTAAATAATCTGTCGGCTTAAAAATCAATACTATTTTCTTTTGATCCTTTCAAAGATATGATTAGAAACATTGTCTATGAAAGTAAATTGTTATGTACGAAACGCTAAATATATCAGAGCAAGAATTACGCGATTGATATTATAACACGTATAAATACTAAATACTAGTCTTAATTTACGAGTCTATTACGCTGTACCCTTGTTTATTATACAAGGGCTGTACTGTTCGGATCGCTCTCAGGAGTCGGGTAAAGCGGGTGTGTGGCCGAAGGAAATATATATTATTTTTCAGAAATCTGCCTAAGGCTTAGCCCGATCCTGTCGTGTTAAGCCACACCCAAAATTCCAAACACACGTGCTTTGATTAAGGTTTGCAGAGTTTTAGCATTTTCCATAAAATAGCGAGCTATTTGTTATAAAACGGAATTTTGAATTATGTCTTTATTTTCGAGAAAATTTAGTCCACACGTAAGGAATATTTTGTTGATGTCTGACCATCAAAATCTTAAAAATAAAGAAGTTGTCAAAAAATGTGCTACAATACGGATATAGTATAATCCTTTATCTTTAATTTCCTTCTTCATTTGTGTAAAAATACCTAGTCAGTTTTACATAAAACGTTAAATGCCAAACGCTTATTTTGCTATTTTTTCGGACTAGTGAAACGGACTCTTAAGGAATAAAAATATATCTCTACCTTTAACTTCAATCAGTGGTAGTATTGGTATTGGCACAGCTTATTCATTAGACAGCCAGTCGACTTACGAGCATCTGCGTAACTCTGCGTATCTACCTAGATATTCTCTTATGTTGTGTAACAAGTCGGATTCTGAGCTCCAATTAAGCTTTGTTTATAAAAAAAACTATCGAGACTGGTGCTCTGGCTACCATTATTATGTCCAAAAACAGAAAAAAAAGCTTTTAAAGCAGAGATACTCAAAAACTAGCAAAGTCGGCTGGCTGTCTCATGAATAAGCTGTTATACCGGTATGCATATATTGCAATTTCATCCTAATTTTTAATTCTATTCATAGTTAATTGAATATATATTTTTTCATTGAAAAAAATAACCGTCCGAGTTTTTAAATTCCTTAATAGTAGATATAATTACATTGGAAAAATGCGGTGAGATAATTACGGCAATTATACTTATTATGCGTATACAAAGTGTCCCAATATTCCACCGACATAGAACTACTACGTATTTGTGGGATCAAAATAAGTTAGGACACATTTTTCTCTATACAAAAGTGCTTTAATTATTTGTCCGTTAGAGGGCTTCAAACTTTAAAAAAATAACTACATTTTTTAAGTTTTTTTTAAGAATCGTCATTCCGATTGAATGAGATGAGGTGGTGGCGTAACAACAGACTCACGGGCCTGTGTGCAAAAATTTTACCGGGCCCCCTATTACACCTACATATTTCAATACTTATATACTAATCTGAATAATATGCACTCATATTTTAGATTAGAAATAACATTATCAAATTAATTTTTATATAGTATTATTTATTACTGCAACACAGAATATGTAACTCAAAACATATAAAATATCAAATAAATAAAAAAATAAATAAAAACAAAACAAAAAACAACAACAAAACTAACTAAATTAAAATAAACAATGTAAATAGGAACATGAACATGTTAAAATTCTTTTTTCCTTGCTTTAGCACGGGCGAAAGTTGACACAATATTACCAATGCCTATTGTACGGGCAACTTCATTTTCTATTGAAATAATTGCCAAAGCTGATAACCGTTTTTCGCCCATAGTATTTCTTAAATAATTTTTGACAAGCTTTAATTTGGAAAAAGATCTTTCAGCCGAGGCCACAGAAACAGGTATGGTGAAAAAAATATGACACGCTGTTAAAATCTCGCTGAAACTAGAAGACGATGAAAGGTTTTTAATTCAAATAAATTCAGTGAGTTTAAAAATGCAATTGATTTCGTATAAATTATTTCGGAAACATTGCCTGAAGGAGAGTAATTGAGAAGAAATCGTATAGGCAATATCATCGGGGTATTTAAGGTATAGAACCTGACCCATTTCATATATATCCTCATCAGAAACAGAAGGATTCTGCTTGATTCGCGATAGCATGTGAGAGATATGGAAATGGGGCTCGGGCCTTTCGAGGGTCCGGGCCCGTGTGCTTCGCACACACGGCACATCGATAGTTACGCCAGTGGAGGTACCTATGTTTTGCTAAGCGCTTTAACATTAGACTTTCACAAAAATGAAGAAAAAGTACGGAAAGGGTGTAAACTACAAACATAGAAATATTTTCCAACTCCACCGACAACTGATTTTTTTTTGTAAAATAGCTCTTCTAGAATTTACAACAGTTTCTGTCTCTTGTAAAAAACGCCATCTCGTATACTTTTTTAAAAAGAAATGTTTTTCCGATGCTGACGTACAAGTCCTTTAACGGGCAAACGAAGCCCTTTTGTCTAGTGATAAATTGTGTGCAATTCACTTATTTTGATTAAAAAAAATTTGTAGTTTGTTCCATGTCCACGGAATATTGGCACCCCTGTATATTTTGTAGATCTGCTCTGGAAAAAATTCTCTAATTTTTTTTTCTCAAAAACTAGGCAATGTGGCGTTTTTTTACAGGAGACAGGGGGTTAGGAGTAGTATATTTTGATCCTAGAAACACGAATATGAAGTTAATTCGAGAAAAAAATTGAGATTGCATTTGCAATTTTTTTGTTTTTGGTTAAAAACATAATTTCTTGATAATATGGCAACATAGGTAGTAGATTAAATTTACACGAAAGAAAACCCAAAAAGGATCCAGTGGTTCTCAAAATTTAAGCAAAAAATCATTTTTTCGGAAATTTTCAAAGTAAAAAAACTCGGTTATTTTGGACATATTTGAAAAACGGCAAAGGGAAAATTTGTTTCTTTTATCGAGATCTAACAGTTCTGAAAATATTTGCACTATTAAGAGTCACCCTGTTGGGGTAGTTTTTCACTACCCCAGTAGTTTTCTCGTACTTTTTCTTGCTTTTTTTGTGAGTCAAATGTTAAAGGGCTAAACATAGGCACCCCAAATCTCATTCAAACCGTTCAATTCTATATGTCCACAGAATATATATGTATACAGTATACAGGGACACCCTGTATATACTGTACATGTTATGTTGTTAGGTAAAAAACGAAAACAATCACATCTTTCCTAATTCCAAGCAATACATCAGTTAATATAATAAACTTACCGTGACTCTGAACATCGTCAGGACTTCAAAATATCCTTTAACCGAATCATTAACAATCACACATGGAGGCGAAGACACATTTCTCAAGGCCCTCATTGATATTAGTGCCACCAATCCTACGGCGGTCGTAACCATCAGACTTTTAAAGTCGGTTTGCGTGTGAATCGTCAGTATGTCCCATGGTCCTCTCCAACCGTTTACGCAAGTAAACGCGAAACACACTGTATATAGTCTGGACACTAAATAAAACAGGATCCTGTTTTTATCCGGGTGAAAATTGTTTTCCAGGACTTTCTGGAATAGGAGGAAGAAAAGATGACCGCAAATGCCGATCGAAGTTGAGATTGCTGCGCTTAGAAGTTTGTTATTGGGCGCAACGTAAATGTCCATCAAAGTCCAAACGCTTCTCCAATAGCTGACGACGCAAGGGCACACTATTACCGCGGAAAACAACAAATCTAGCACCGTGATGAGAGTGTAATACGTGGTACCGTCGCCTTGGAAATTGTCGGGAAATCCTGCGGTACTGCCTCGCATGGTGGATCAAGATTGGTTAGGCTGCGTGACAGGGTTCGCGCATCTCCGAATTGGTCGCTTTGACCTATATGTTATGAACTAAAGGATTTCTTTTGAGAACTAAATCAATTTTATTAGTGATAAGCGAGTGGACGATGGTCCGGTGGGGACCGAGGTCACGTGACACGGGCCAATTCAAATTGCGAGTACCGCGCGCTGATCCGCCGCACCACCACCGGCCGGTCAGATTGAATTGTTTGTATTTGGTTTGGTTCGGTGCTTTTTTATATACATGTACCGGGCATAGATAATTTTATGGGCATATTATATTTAATTCTCTGAAAATTCGTGGGAATATCCTAATAAACCAAATACAGAGTAATACATTTACTTATTAACTAATTTATTATTAAAAATTTTAAATAAGTAATAAATTTAGAAATTACATAGGTAGGTACAAATTCATCAGTAAAAAAAAGACAAAAATGAAGTTTTTTTACTTTAAATCACTTGTAAATAAAACAACAAAATATCCAGTATATAGAAGCCTTCCCAAACACAAAATCATCAAAATTTCTCTGCGAAAATGCATCTTTCTTTTTTTTTCCTACTTTAGAATAACTGAAATCAATTACATGAAAACGTGTTCCTGCTTTATATTCTAAACATTTTTCTTGTGTAGGTATGAACTTAGCCTAGTAAATACTGTAATTTAGACATCAATACCGCATCGAGAAATAACGAAAATAACCTAAAATGAACCAACAAACCAAACCAAAACAAAACAAACCTAACCAAAGCAATCAAAACACGCTGTGCTGTAAGTTAAAATTCGTCTGTTTACGAATTCCAATTGCCGAGTACTTTTCAAATATTGCTATATTTTACAATATTTTATCAATAAATGAAAGTGATACACTTCCGCAAGAAGTTTTTGCCTTTTAGAAAAATTTCTAGAATGAAAAACAGAAACGTATTTTCATGTCTTGAAAAATTGAAAAGGATTCATTTCCGCAGAAATTTTTTTATGACATACTATTCGAAAAGGTTTCCTAATACTAAATAAACAAATATTTCTTACATAACTAATTTCGAGTAAATGAAAGTAGCTCTGATTTCAGCTAGTCTAAATTTGAAAAACTCGAAAAGGATGGATTTCCGCAGAATTTTTTTTTCACATACTATTCGAAAAGGTTTCCAAATACTAAATAAACAAATATTTCTTATATAACTGATTTCAAGCAAACGAAACTTAAGCCAAAGACAAATTCCACAATAACTTTTTTCCAGCCTATCCACCTGAGAACCTCCTCATTCGTTACCCTATCCGTTAAGGATGTAGAATGTAGAATGGTAGGAGGAGGGTTAATTACTGCGACATTACAGATCTATTGTATTTTCCCTTTTCTTGCGTTATAATGAGTTATAACTCATCATACAGTCTCAGGGCTTTGACAAAAGCCAGTATCTGAGACGGCTCCGCAGAGGCCAGCTCTCCATCTATGACATTAGTCGTACCAATGTTTATAGTACAAACGGTTGTCTCGGCACATTCGTGATGAAGTGTTCTGGTGTTTCTTCATTTTCCTCACAGAATCTGCATTCACTGTTCTTTCTCAGCTTCAATCTACTGAGGTGTTCATGCAGAATACATGCAGTGTCCTGTTACAAATGCCTTGACAATCCGAAAATTGTTCCTAATTAAATCAAGGAAAACCTTAGATTTTTCTCGATCGTAAGTTCTGAGAAACTTTGTCGACTGTCTTAGACCGTTGGAAGATGGAGTCTTCCAGGTTCCTGAGTTCCGCTTTGAGTTGATTTTCGGTTGGAAAGCAGAACGGTTCTGGTCCAGTTAATGGAGTGTTCGCTCCTTTTCAAGCTAGATCGCTTGCTTTTTCATTGCCTTCTATCCCCTGGTGAGCGGGCACCCAGAATAGGAGGACTACTCCTTGCCTAATACATCAGTACATCAAGGATACAGGCCTTTGTCTTGTGGAACCATACATAAGCATTAACCCGGGCTAAAGGAAACCAGAGTGTCCTTCTCTGAATCCACTTAGACAAATCTTGACAGGCGCGTCCAAATCGCGGGGGTGGGCCCGATTTCACGAAATCGGTGGCTAAGTCCTGTCGGGGACCCAATGTTGCGGGGTATAACGCTTCCCCCTGGCCAGGGTTACGGTCGAAGACCACAACGGCGAAGAGGGCGGAGAGGATGGACCTCAGTACGGCGGATTTGGCGGAAGTGGCTACCCAGCTTTAGGGATAATGTATAAGCAGCAGGGAAAATTGGTCTCTTGAGTCTTGAAGGACACCCAGTTTAAGGGAAGAACCTGACATAAAATTACCTGGTCCTCCTAGTAGGGGGTTAAGGCGTTGGGTCTGCAGCCCATCACTTATAAAAATTCAAAAAACGCAAAATTTCTCAACAAAGCCTCGGACCCGGATTGTCAGAAAAGTAGACGAAAATTGGCAATGAAACGGACTTTACGAATAGGAACATGGAATATTCAAGGGATAGCAACAAAGAGAGAAGTATTTGAAGAAATGGAACGGTACGATATGGACATAATAGCTTTAACAGAGACTAAGAAAAAAGGGAAAGGTACAGAAGAGAAGGATGGATATGTGCATATATACAGTGGTGTACCAAAAGAGGAGCGAGCCCGCGGTGGAATATCACTAGCAATTAGGAAGAAATATAAGAAATTTATAAAATCTTGGGACCAAATCAACCACAGACTTTTGCAGGTGGATGCAATCAAATGGATTGCCTGAGAAAAATGGAACTCCATTAAGTAACGTCAAGTATAATATTGAAAGTTTGAGGAATGACTCAACTAAATTCTTGTACCAGATGAGACTAGCCACGAAATTAAACAGAATAGGACAAGGATCTCCAAATGATATGTACAAAAGTCTGAAAACATGCATACATGAAGCCACAAATGAGGCTCTTGAAGAGAAAATAGTCTCCACGTGATACAGAAAAGATACACCTTGGTGGAGTGAAGAACTAGGAAAGATTGTAGATGAAAAGAAGGCTGCTTATGGGAAATGGTTAAGTACACAGAGCACTCAAGACAGACTAATTTATAATGACAAGAAGAGAAGTGTACAGAAGGAAATAATAAAAGCAAAGAATGAGTACTGGGAAGAAAGATGCCAAGAAGTCAACTTAGAAGCTGGAAACACAAAAGCAAATAAAGCATGGAAAATTATCAACGGAATGCGAAGACAACATAAAGATACTGGAGGGATGAATATTATTACGATCGAGGATTGGAATATTTATTATCAAAATCTTTTGACGGAAAATAGAACCGAATTCATACAAGATCATGAAAGTCATCCTGTTAATCCAACCGAACCTCAGCATCCAACACTAATAAGCTCTGCAGATGTAAATAAAGCCCTCTAACAAATGAAAAATGGCAAAGCCCCAGGTTTGGGAAATGTTTCAGTAGAACTTTTAAAGGCTGCCCCCTCAGCAGTTTTGGAAATTCTGGCAGATATTTTTAGTAGATGTTTAAATGGAGAAACCCCACCCAAAGAATGGAAAAAAGCGATTATTACGTCCATATTTAAGAAAGGGAGCCGACGCGACTATGAAAATTATAGAGGAATTAGTGTCATTTGTACTGTTGCTCGACTCTATGGCAAAGTACTAAAACATAAGATAGAAGCACAAATAACGGAATCGGAAGAGCAAAATGGTTTTAGACCGGGACGCTCATGTACTGATGGCATTTTCACTCTTAAGCATCTAATCGAAAAAAGGCTAGAAAGGGGAAGGACGATCCACTTGACATTTATTGATCTACAGAAGGCATACGATACAGTCCCGCTGAGTAAGTTGTGGGTGTCAATGGAAAATGTTGGTATCAGTAGTTGGTATGTCCAAGCAACAAGAAAATTATATGAGGTTTGCAGTAGCACATTTACACTTGGAAACAATATTTCCCAAGAATTTCTTGTGAATAAGGGCTTAAGACAAGGGTGTTCATTAGCACCAACTTTATTTAAAGTATATTTGGAGGAAGTACTGAAGTGTTGGAAGATGAAATGCCGTGGAATGGAAATCCCAGTAGGAAAAGACACTTTATATACCTTACTCTTTGCCGACGACCAGGTTTTGATAGCGGGAGACAGAGACGACTCCAGTTATATGTTTAGAAAACTGCATGGGAAATATTCGAAATGGGGCCTAACAATAAACACAAAGAAGACGGAGTACATTGTAGTGGGTGATGACGAACGTGAGGATTTGGATGTAGGAGCGGTACAATTAAAAATGTCTGTACATTTAAATACTTGGGCGTCACTTTTACAACAAATGGAAAAAGCACTCAAGATATTGCAAATAAAGTTGGTCAAGGAAAAAGAGTTATCGGTCAACTTAACTAGTTGTAGTGGAGTGACAAAATTTCCCAAAAAACAAAAATTCTACTTTATAAAGCCATTGTAGAGAGCATTTCCACTTATGGCGCTGAAACGTGGGAGCTAAACAAAGTAGAGAAAAATAATTTGCTGTCTCTTGAAATGGATTTTTGGCGAAGAAGTTGTCGCATTTCAAAACTGAAACACATCTCAAATCAAAGAATACGAGAAATTATAAGAGAAAAAGAAACTATTCTCGACGCCATTGACGGCAAAATACTAAATTGGTACGGACACCTCCAACGAATGGATGATAACCGATGGCCGAAAAGAATTCATTCATGGACACCAAGCGAAAGGCGGAAACATGGAAGACCACCTCAAAGATGAAAGCAGGGCGTAGTTGACGCTATGCATTCTAGGAGCCTTCAGGAAGAAGACTGGACCTAATATGTGGAAGTTGAGAAGCGGGAGACGACGAATGTCGTAAAAATCCGCAATATATATATCAAGGATACACGCAGCATAGGCCGATACAAGTACATCTCAAAAGCGTTATCGCTATTTTTCAATGTCTGAAGTATCCAACTCTCAGAGCCGTAGAGAAATATTGGAAAGATATAGGAACGCAGCATACGTATGAGAAGTACAAGGTATCAAGGTTTAAATATCGGCTGGAGAAGAAATTTTTCATGGATGCAAAAGTACGTCTAGGCTGTTCAATCTTCGCAAAAATTTCAACTTTGGAGTTACAAGCGTCGTTAATGATGGCTCCTAGACATTTTATGGATACTAGTTCTATCATCTTGTTGTAAATTCCGAGGACTGCCTTTTCCCGTAATTTGGAATT